AAAATATCATTTTTTACCAAAAATGACAAAAATATTCACCAAAATTAGAGAATTAAAGATATCATTACAAAATGAACAAATCTGAGAGAGGTCCACATGTAGTACCTATATGTGTAATATCAAAGCAATTGAACTTGCGGTTTTTAACAAGAAGTTGAAAATATCACTTTTTACCAAAAATTACAAAAATATTCACCAAAATTAGAGAATTGAAGATATGATCATGAAATGAACAAATCTGAGAGAGGTCTACCCAAGGTACATATACACCAAGTATCAAAGCATTCAGACTTGTAGTTTTCAAGAAGAAGTCGAAAAAGTAAAACATTGACATGGACGACGGACAATCACTCATATGATAAGCTCCGCTCGACAAAGTCGACAGCAGAGCTAAATATGAAAAAGATCCTTTTTTTTTTACATTTAATGAGAAAATTATTTACTGAAAATCAAAAAATATGATCTTGAAATGATAGAGGTACATTGTACACACAAAATACATGCACATGCATCCCCATAATTACGCACATGTATCAAAACAATCAGCTGGTAGTTTTCAAAAACAGTGTAATTAGAGACAGATGAGAACACTGGAAAGTTCACAACAGAAAAGCTACAAATTGTGTTATTCTGACCCCTGATTCTTAAGGAAAAAAACTCAGACTTTCCGAGTTCATTGAACAATTGCTTCGTCAGAATCCTTTAGGCAATTCAATACATATTGAGTTTGTGAAGTATTTCCTCCTGGAGAGAAAACATTTTTAAAATACATAGCATCACAAACATCTGACCTCAGAATAATAACATACAGTGAAATACAGTATCTCTACAAATGGTGTCCTGGTTTCTTTGACCATTACACAATATGAAGATACACATGTAGTATAATTACACAGAGTGACTCTACAGGCAGTGTCCTTGTTTCTACAGCCATTATACTATGATATGTAATACAAATGTATTTAGAGTCTATAGGCAGTGTCTTGGTTTATACTACCATTACACTACAATATGTACTACTGTAAAATCTGTATTAGAAGCCACATCCCTAATAGAAGCCGCACCCATTTTTTTTAAACAATTGAGACCCAAGAATTCATCATTTCTCATATGTGTAGATTCTCTAAGAGAATACAAGCTTCTGCCATGAAAAAAAATGAATGCAGAACATTGTCTGTGACACATTTATTCTGCAATAGTTTTTTTTGCAATACCATATCGACATTAAAAATTTGCTTTTTGGTTAAATCATTCTTTCTTTTTTTTCGTCCTAATGCAGATACTGATTAACATGAACACAACTGCTTTTGCCAACATGAAAGATTATAAATACTCGGCATGTGCTAAGACCTGTAACATGAACGTAGCCACAGTCTCTGTATCACCGGTCTTGAAACAGTTGCTGTCCTATTGTCGTACCTCGTGCAACAGAAAAATAATACACTGAAACTTAAACTAAATCAGCACAAGACGCAACTTGTTAGAGGTCATCGTCAAGTTAAACTGAATATCATTACCATTCATGATTTACCTACATGCTTTGCGAAAAGAAAATTGTGCAATTGCTAGTTTTCAGAACCAGAACCAAAACAATAGAAGCCGTTTTTGAGCAACATCTCATGAAAGTACAGAGATGATTTTGTTGGTTTCGAGAACAAAGATATTGATTCGGATTTCATGAAGGAACAGGACTACTTTTTCTCTTGTACTGCTACTGATAGTAGAGACGATATGAAAGTATATATTTTGCATGTACATGATAGTGGGACTGTGACATAGCCTATGGTTTTTAGATATAAAATAGAGCTTAGTTATCATTAACAATGAATATGAAAGAAAGTAAAGTTTAAATTAATTAATTTTAGATTTGTTAAAATTGGCCAAAATTTAATGCTTTGACATATATGTTTGTGACTAACTGTATGAGTGACTGTGAAAGATTCCCATCAGGAAGTAGTTTCTGAGTTGTGATGTTTATGAATGCAACTTTGTTGGAATTCCCTTGAAAGCAGAATGTGACATATGTCAAGACACACAGTGATGACCCTTGCTATTTAACATGAACTCAGACAATCACAATTTTCATAAACAAATCTGAAGAAGTTCAGTTCCAGGCAATCATTGGAGTTGTGCCACAGTCTTTCGTTTTTCTTGAAATTATTTCAACAGTTTCTGACTATGTTTTGTTTTTCGTGTTCTTGTATGTAACTATTTGTTTCCACTGAAAAAGTAGTCCTGCATCGTAATTGGAATATGTCACTCGGTCGTGTTTTCAATCCACTGCCACAGCCCTTTTTAGTGGACGTCTGCAGTTACAGCACAAGATGATTAAAACTGTAGAATTTTCATGAAAACACTGAACAAATATATATTCACGAGAGGTGAACAAACTTACTATTCGTTTACACATTGATTGTTAGTGTATTTGTCTGTGCGTGCAGTGTAATTATCGATGCAATGAAATTGCTGAGAAGTCCTTGGAAAATCAAGATTCTCTTGATTGTTTTCGTTTTGTTCGGCATGGAATGCAACATGGCTGCTTGATCCCGCGACAGAAATACGTCTTCTCTATTTGTTCCATGTTGGCGGCATATCCTAGTCGTTATATTCCTCGTGTCGGATCACTGATATGTTAAATACTATAATTAGCATTTTTTTCAGTTCAAGAACACAACAAATAACCTCCTACCTGTAAAGCGTGTTGCTGTAGTACATTGGATTCGACAGTCATGGCCGACATTGAAAAAGACTGCTGTTCCCAAACAAGTCCATCCCCGCTCGCGCCAAACATTTATATAAATTACGATCAAACGGACTGCACATTTGCACAATATAATGGTTTGGATGAAGTGGTGATTAGAATAGTCTGCTCTATGGTGTTTTGACACTCACAGTGTGCTATAAGTATGTCAAAAAGATTGGGAATTCCCAGACATTCTTGTGAGGGGAGATAATTAATCTAACAGCCGGGATTCCTGGACCATTATCGCTGAAAGCCAACTGCGGGTTGGTTGAAAAACGTGACTGGCAACATATCCGCATTTTTGTTCAAACTAAATGTTTATGATAAAAGTATAACATTGTTCCAAAAATGTCATAATATTTAATCATAAATAAGTTCATGCAGCTCATATGTTTAATTTTGTCGTAAGAAAATGCTGCAAGTTATCATTCTAAATATGGTAATAAGCACGATGGCCAATCAGAGGACGCGTTACTTAAGGCTGAACAACATATTATTACTTTCAACATGGCGGCGCCCTGATGTGTCTGCTCTGGCATCGTTTACCAAAAAAGGTCAAAATAAGTTGAATTTAGACAGCAGGTTTTATTTTATTGTGATCGATCCTACCAACAGTTGACACCTTTTTATATCCGTTCAAAATGTCGTTTTTCTTGGATTCCGTGGTGATGTTTTCCACTCAGGTAAGCACTTGACACGTATCGCCCGGTAGTAGACTTGGTGGTCTCACTCTCTGATGTGTGTGTTGAGAGGGTTGGGAGTGTTTGGGGGGGGGGGGGGTGCAGTAAGCACAATTTTAGTAACATAATTTGAAATAAGCAAAATTCTGTGAAATAAAATATAAAAAAAAACAGGGTAATTTAGTTGATTTGCAAAATTGTTCTCACTAATATTCACATTGTGCTGTCAATGTAACGTCATACTCGGCCACCTGTGACCGTGTTTTGTTTGCTGCATTGACGTACAGAGAATCACTGTGTTAAAATGTGACAATACGACTCTTATGTTTACGCGGTATCTGTATGAAACAGTTGTCGCTTGAAATATTGGTAATTATTAAAAAATAATATTGCAAATATTTTAATAAAATTTGATATTGTTCGATGTACCTTATTACTTATATTCAGTTGGTAACAAATAGTACATCCATCAAAAAATAAAAAACAAAAAAATATTATAGCTTTGCACCTTTATACAACTAAAATACATATATGACACCTCTCCTGAAAACTGCCTACATAGGTCAGCTATGAAACAAATTAACATTATATCAATCAGTGCTCACCATCTAAAAATAGAAACAGACTTATACTGACATATCTGATAGAACATGTCCTTTCTGTCAAAATGGAAAAAAAATCTGTACGTGAGGTTTTCAAAAAACTAAACATAACTGCTTTCAAATACACTGGCACAGAAAACTATTGAAATGCTCAAGAGAAATGACAGTGATATTTAGAAATTAATAAATTTGTCTTTGTTTCAAGGCAAGGGTGGATAAATTAATACATAAGCTACAGTACCAGCTGCCTCGTGTTATTTATTAAACAAAAAACAAAAAAAAGAGTTGATGTAAAAATGTTTGAATTCAGGCAGAATGATGAATAGACTTTAGGCAACTATTCCTGGGTCATGTTGAATTTTACTTTGTAGTTAACTGGTTTATTTATTTTTCTATTTGATACTTTATTGTAAACATGAATCAAAATCCCACAAGGTCGACAAAGATTAAAAATTTAAGTAATATTCATAATTGCAATAATAACTTTAATCAACATGAAAATGCAAACATAGTTTCTATCATCTATGTACTGTATGTGTGTTTATTGTTATATACATGTATATAAAATATGTTTTTGAAATTCAGTCCCTCACCCTCTTGGCTATTATCGCCGATTTTTCTTCGCCTGAATGTATTAATACTATTATGTTATCAAAAATCATAGAAGATTTGACGAATTGCTTGGCGATAAGGCTGATAAGACTTGATTTTCAAGGACGCAGGTTGTTTGGATCGAACGGTTTCTTTTGTTTCGATTTTGTTGTGCGTCTAGAAACATAGAAACATTGTTTATTAGTGAATATAGAATATGTTCTGTTTCAATACAGGATTTTGATATGCCAATCGGGCAATTTTAACAATTTCTTACTGGGACGTCCCCTGTATAAATGGTCCTCTACTCTCCAAAAATTGACAATGATACTAGCCCAGAATAGACTTCCTGTTCAGCACGTCTTTTATTGTAGCAATGTTTAAGCTACTGTACGCACACTCGCACATTCACATGAGCGTTTCTGGATAGTAGTAGTAGAAGCATATGGATGGAAATGCCAGTTACATCACTCATGAAGATTGATGATTCGATTGCTGGCCGGGATAGCTGTATTTAGTGTTCATTTCCATGCAATATGTCTACACTTGCGATTCTCATATTCGATGTGTAAAATCATGTGGTTTCTGTGGACGACGGCGGCTGACAGATTGTTTTTATTCTGCGTTTATTTGGTTGCATTTTGTCAGACACTGACAGTTTAAGTAAGTTAAACAGGCGGGGACAAAATTCCAAGAACACAAAGAAAACAACTGACATTCGACAAAACAGAAACAACTGCCGGGTACACTACACTGTTATTGTAGTCACAGTTGTGAACTGAACTTTAAATCTCATTAGGATTTCCACATGAAGTTACACAGATCGAAAAAAAAGGCATTATTAAGACAAGGAAAATAATGTTTTTTTGTAAAGACTATATACTTAATTCTCTTATTTTGGGGGTATTTTTGAGAGTGTACATGTATGCATTAAAATATGTACATGTATACCCATTAAAATTACATCAAACCTTCAAATGAAATCATAATAAAAATGCAAACCAAATTTTGGATTTGTTTAGAAAATAGCCGAAATTTGGTGGTGGGAATTGCTAATCCAGTTTATAAAATAGTGAAAAAAGCGAAAGACATGCCCATTGCAAAGTGTCTTGTAATAATGATAATCATCTTCATAGTATAATGGTATCCTTATTTGGATATTGAATTACAATAAAGGTGACAATGAATTGTAAATGTGAATGATAGGGCAACGGTTGTCAGGTTGTCATAGTACGTAACTTTCAACTTTTTTCCTTTAATCATCAAACAAGTTACTCCATGATTTTTGCATTTGTAATTGTCATGTTTGTTTATTTCAGATTTTGTTTTTTCTTGGAGGATGGGTTTTCTTTATCAGACGTCTATACAAAGACTATGAGGTATGTGTACATTAATATGGAGACTGATAAAATGATACGAGATATGCTGGTTTATCATATACATTTGTAACTTGTATTGCATGGACTCCAATGCTATGGGAAGTGTGCCCTCACTTCAGGGCAATAATTTCCCATATCAAGCCTGGCCCAGCACACCCTGCTTTCAGCAATCAAAACAAAACATGTCATACTAAATTACATTGTGTGTGTTGAGATCACGTCATGGTAAAATTGTAATTACACCAACATGTAATAGTATATGATGAAAACTTTATGGACTGGATACAGCTTTTGCTGCCCTCGCAAGCTTGGGTGCTTCTGCTGCACAACCTCGGGCCACAAAAGCCATATCCAGTCCATAATGAATATTACATTCAATTCTGATTCACAAATTTATCTAAGCTAGCAATGAGGTTCTGCTTTTCATCCTAGGGAAAATTAAAAAATGATACAGCGAGACGATTTTAAGGTTGTATAATACCACAACAACTGGATATAAGTTTAATATTTGATGTTTATTAAACAATTCTTTCAAATAGATGCATTAAAAGTTGATTTGGAGCAACAAAACATTCTCTGGAACAGAAAGCAAAAATTATCTCATTCTACCAATTGTGATGCACTTTACTGATCCTCAAAATTGCAGGGAATAAAATGTGCGCAATGTTGAGAAGACCCAATACCTAGGCATTCATGTTGTGTTCAAACCAAATGCCTAGGCATTT